CAGACAAACCACTGATTTACCTGCAACTGATAGATCCCTAAATGCTGTCCCAGAACGGACCCCCTGGAGAGAGGAGTATAAGTTTCCAATACACATCAAGACTGAAGTGAAAGGGGTATTTGACAAGGAAGAACAAAACAGTGTGCAGCGCAAAACAGCCACCCTCAGTTTACTTGATGATGAATACCCGCAGAACCTTTGGGTCCGTGTTTACACAGATGGGTCAGCAGAAAGCGCAGTCAGAAACGGAGGTGCGGGAGTGTACATTGAGTATCCTAATAATACCAGGGATACAGCCAAATTACCAACGGGAAATCACTGTCACAACTATGATGCAGAAGTTCAAGCCATCAAGATAGCGGTAGAGAAACTACTAAATACAGGGTATTTTTCACAACCAGTGGTATTCCTGACAGATGCAAAAGCAGTACTTCAGTCACTCCAGTCTGGAAAATTACCAAGCATACGGACACTATTATCCGAACTAGGCAACCGCTGTAAATTAGTAATGCAGTGGATACCTTCCCACTGTGGAGTTCCCGGAAACGAAAAAGCTGATAAACTAGCTAAGGAAGGTGCAACTGAAGAACAACCTGACATACCAGTCTCTTATCAACAGAAGAAGAGAATGATCAAATCAATCAGAATGCCACCGAAACTGGCACAAGATGATTACCATATTATGGACAGACCAGAGCAAGTTATTATCCTTCGCCTTAGAACAGGGCACAATAGACTTCGCTCCCACATGTACAACAAATTTAAGATTGGCCAATCGGCCATGTGTACTTGTGGACTGGCACCTGAAACAACAGATCACATCCTTCAAGACTGTCCCATATTCAACGCTTTCAGGCAAAACATTTGGCCAAAAGAGACACTTGTGGAAGTCAAACTTTACGGGCCGCTTAGTGAATTACAAAAGACAGTAAAATTCATACAAGAGACGGCTTTGCAGATATAGACAATTTATTTCATGCGAACGAAAGAAGAGAAGAGAAAGTCCATGTTGTGTGGCATTGGTAGTCATGTTTACTCTTTTTATCTGTCCAGGGTATTCTCATCCAATTGTCTATAAACCAACATCTTCTCAGCCATATGTGACATATAATGGCACCAACGGACTGTTGTCTTCTGCTTGTTAGTGTATCTAAGAATTTTCCCTCTCACATAGGTTTCAAGTCTTTGTATGTGGCCACACGTCTTAATGCAAAAACTGTTTAGCTAAACAGTAAAGGTAAACCAGCGTCTTTGCACACGGTTATAAACCATAAGTGCTCTGCCACTAGTACGGACAGCTGATAAGAATTGTCCGCCGGTGTCACCGTTCGCACGTAACTCTGTAGCTACATCGACGTTCCTCCATTAACCCCAGAGTGTCAACACGGTACCCATTTCCTAGAGGCTGGGTGAACCCCGGGAGCTGCCCGGGTTCGAACACCGACCGTGGCTGCAGCGAGTCGCAGCTGGATTTGAAAGCCAGCCTCTTATTGACTGAGCTAACGCGGCTCCTTAGTTAAACAGTAAACAGATGCTATGGTTAGTTTGGCAGGCCTCTCTAAGGGATACACAGCAAAAAAAAATTTGTGTGTGTGTGTGTGTGCATGTGCCAAAAATATTAAGTAAATTTTGGATCACTTTCACTGAATTATTTAACAAACAATTTTTTAAAGACAATTATGGTGGACTGTTGAAGGAACAAAGTGAACAGAGAGAAAGGAAAAGACTACACAGTAGATCAAGTCGCATCCTCAAAAATAACCTTCGAGAAAGGAAGACCAACTTACACAGCACATTAGAAAGAAAGCATGGACTAACTGGTAAGCAATGTACCAACAGCCAGACCAGATATCATCAATTTTGCCTCCCCAACAAGCATGTCATAAGAGTCGACTAATTGGGGGTTTTCTTCGAAGTCAGCCGGCATCTGCCTGAGAGGCAAGAGACCAACAGACGGCATACAAATTAACCAGATCTGTCAAACGGACGTGCACGCAAAACTCAGGTTCTGGAATAAGACTAAAGTCTAGAGGTGGATGAACAATCAGCACCTTCGCCATAGTTTACAGCCAGTGAATGCAAAGAAGAAGAAGAGACGGGAATGCCCAATGTGCAGTGATTATAATCATAACAAAACGTTAACACACAGAAGATCCCTACACAGTAACAACAGTGACATTAAATCATCATCCTCATGTGCCCTGCTGATAAGAATAGGTGGCCATGATTCACCATCTCACATGATCACCAGAAGCAAGGATCAGGTCAGTGCCCTTGTCTTGCCCCATCCTTATGGCCAAGCCATCAAAGTACTTCCCCTTGCTATTTCCCCATCAATCTTACAGGTTGTAACCAAATTACTGAGTCATCTCCTTCTCATAAAAATAAACAGGAAACCGTTCGGACCATATAAACGTTATATATAAAAGAAAAAGTAAAGGACCCTTTTCCACGCCTTTAGGCGTATAGGGCATATAGGGCTAGGCCTATATTTTTATAGACCAATCGGCACAAGATGGGTGATGTGGTCAGCATCACGCCGGCCGCCTTTACTTTCCCGGGACTGCACCCGGTACCCACTCAAGGCTGGGTCGACCTGGGAGCCAAGGTCATTTTTGAAAAAAGTCCGGCTCCGCCAGGGGGCGAACCCACGACGAGCGTCTAGCCACTTGGCCATGGGAAAAAGTAAAGATCCCTTTCCACGCATTTAGGCATATCGGGCATATGGGAAGAGAGCCCATATTTTTACAGACCATCAGCACTCGGTGGGTAACGTGGTCAGCATTACGCCGGCTGTCTTTACCTTCCCCAGGACAGCCCATCCTGGTACCCATTTTAGGCTGGGTCGACCTGCGACAACGTCATATATAAAAAAGTGAAAATGTATTGATCAGCACTCATAGAAAAACAGAAGGCGCATCTCCTCACAAAACACCAACATACAATTTTTCCTGTGTCTGTATCTAATTTTCTAATAACGGGTCCACACACACAAAAAACACTGACTCTCAAAGTCTAATTTCTCGAATCAGTTTATGGTTTTTATCGAGTATGTCGGTATCATTTGTTTTTCTATCATTTATGGTTTTTATCGAGTATGTCGGTATCATTTGTTTTTCTATCATTTATGGTTTTTATCGAGTATGTCGGTATCATTTGTTTTTCTATCATTTATGGTTTTTATCGAGTATGTCGGTATCATTTGTTTTTCTATCATTCCATGATATTCTTTGAAATATTCTTTAAAAAAATATATATAAAAAAAAACCAGCTTAGCTTCTAGTTATCAAGTCCAATTTTAACTATTTAAATCCCAGACTATTCCGTTGCAGATTCTGACCCAAGAAAACAAACAATCATGAATGCATGCCTTTTAACTCTTTGAGCAGCAAGCTACTTATTTGCATCAATGGAGTTTTCTAGCATTCTATATGCTTCCTGAGGCCTTCAAGCTTCAATCAGTGGTAACTTTAATAAACCATTTGGGATGAAAGAGTTAATGAGACTAAAAATCACAGTGAAAGAGGCTGCTGTAGATGCCAAATATACTTATTTTATGTACACTGCTGTATGAACATATCATGCTTTATATATAGATCAAATACAATTGCTTTGTAAAACGTGAGTTTGTAGAAGAGTTGAACCCAAGACCGGTCTGCAGCCTCAACTTATGACTCTTTAAAAAAAATAATGTTGTTTTTTTGTTCATTCAATCATTCCAGTGTTTAGACCATGCTCTGACCAAATGTAAGTAAACTCATCACATGATACTGAAAGCTGGTTGCTTGTGAAGTGCTAAATGTTTACTGCAGTACTACTTCTTTGTGTTGCTGATCGCGCCAATATTTTCGGTTTGTACGTTACAGTTGCAGATTAGACTTAAGTGCGTTAACTTTACTGTGCTGATAGTTCATAGGTTTGTCTAGGTCAATGAAAGTTTCCATACGGAAAAAGATGGTAAAGCCCTCTATGCCATGAGTTTTAAACTCCAGGTGAACACAGGCTTAAGAACATGGCAACAGGTCAGCAGAACATAATTTTCTACTTCCCCTAACAGAACAAAATAACCTCAGCAATGGGAAAAACACATCTTCCCAATGAAAAAATAAAAAAACTCTCCAACAGGATAAAACCACCTTCCCAGCGGGAAAAAAACCCACCTCCCAAAAGATGTTTTGTGCAAAATGAACCCAAAAATAAGAAGTGTGTACAAAATGGAAAACATGCTAAATGGCCAGAAATGGAGACTAATGTACTAAAAATGGGTGAAAACAGTTTGTTTTTTCCCCTGGAAACTTTCTTTCAATTTTGGAGTGCATCTTATATAAGGGAGCAACACATAAGCTAACAAAAATGGTTCTACATCCTTTTAAGGATGAAATTTTTTGTTATTTGGAGCCCCACCCTGGCTTTTGCCAGGGGCCGCAATATAGGCAGGCCATAAATATGGCCAATTGTCTGAACACGGTTTCTGGGACCTCTCCACGGCGATCCTCATCCACATGGTGGCACTTTGTGTCATCGGGTGTTTATCGCTTGTGTGATGTCCTAGTGGGGTAGAAAGTCAGTCAGTCAGTCAGCTAACAAATACAATAAATGTTGTGAACAGCCAAAGAGAGGTAACCAAGCTCATTCTCTGCTGCAGTCATGTTTACTCATTACTCCTCTTATACTGAATAGAAATTTACATTAATTTGTGCGTAAATATAACTGTTACATTTTTGAGTGTGACTTTTTAAAATGGATTTCTTCCTGGAGTTACAGAAACAGGGTGACTTTGTTGTTTTCAAGTTTAGTGGAGTGAAAGGTTTGAGCGTATCCCACCCTCCACAGCACAGCCAAACAAGGAGTACAGTCTCTTCAATTATTCTTTCTTTCTCTCTCTCTCTCTTTCTCTCTCAGCATAATTTAAGACAGGCCTGCATGTTCAATTGGTAACCTTCTGAAAAATCAAGTCTGTTCATTCACTCTCTCACTGCATGCACATGAGTACAACTTACCTGGGTAGTCCAGCCCCTCGGGGAAGAAATAATCTGTGAACTCAACATGGATGACAGACATGTCTGGTGGCAGGTGAAGCTGTCGTTTGTCAGAACACAACAACTTGTTGGGGCCAGTTCGCTTCTTTCCAGGCATAGACACCATGTAGACAGTAACATCTTCAACCTTGAGAGAAACAAAAAGACAAGTCTTATGAATTCCAACACCACAGTGTACCACTTCATGAACAGACACTCGTTTTCTTCTTCTTCTTCTGCATTCCGAGCCCTTGAGGTTCCCTGCTGCAGATATCAACTGCCTCCATTCATCTCTGGGATTAGTCCTCTCTTTCCAACCGGTAACTGAGTTTTTGCAGGTCTGCCTGTAAATTATTTCTCCTTTGACTTCATAGTCTGCCTTGTGTTCTATGACCATTTAGTAAAACTAAAGTAATGAGAAATAATTTCTAAACAGAAAATCCAATTATCTTAAATGATGAAGCAATAGAGGAACTTGAAGAATTTATATACCTCGGAAGAAAAGTTACTCCAGATGGAGATTCTGAAAAAGATGTAGCATCAAGAATAAACAAAGCAAATCAAGCATTTGCCATGCTTAACAATATATGGAAGTCAAAGGGATTTAGTTTGAAGACAAAACTCAGAAAATACAAGAACAACATTTTAGGAATATTATTATACAACAGTAAATGTTGGAAAATGACAGCGGGAATTACACATAAACTTAAGATTTTTTCAAAATAAATGTTTAAGGAGAATTCTACAAATATTTTGGCCAAACAAGATCACAAATGAAGATCTGGAGGGGAAAACAGAATGTGCATCACTGGCAAATGTTATCAAAGTAAGACGATGGAGATGGCTTGGACATGTTTGCAGAATGCCTTGTGACACTGGCAAAAACAGCTCTCCAGTGGACAGCAGATGGGATAAGGAGACATGGGCGACCTAAGGAAACCTGGAGGACAACAGAATGGGAAATGAAGGAATGTAAACTGACATGGGATACCATGGGCAGAAAAGCAGCAGACCAGCAGCAATAAGGATTACTTGTGAATGCCTTATGTGTCAACAGCGACATAAAGAGGATATACAAATAGAACATCCAGGAAGATTGACTAATAAAAGCATCCTGTCTCGGAAGCTGAAATATTTTGGTCATATCAAGCGCCATGGAGGATTGGAAAAAATAACAGCAGAAGGCTAGGTACTAGGAAGGATGGGCAGGGGCCGGCCAACATGAAGATGGGTACAGGATAAGTTTTCTCTTTGAATATAAAATTACACACTGCAGGAGAGCTGACAATAGACTGAGTTCCTTTCAGGCAGACTGTGATGAGAGCAACGTTCTGCACAGGACCTGCTACATGATGAAACACAAAATAAATGTGTTAACCAAGTCAATGGTTCAGTTTGGAATTCCAAGTCCGGACACATAGGTAAAAAATACATATTTTTAAGAAATGAAATTTATTAACAAAATTTTATTTAATTTCCATTTTTTACAAGGGAAAGGTTGATGTGCTTTGCACAATTTACGTGAACACGATGTAATAAATCCACGTTACTGAAAATTCTGGCACATTCACCCTTTTGTTAAAAATTCTGGCACATTCACTTTTTTGTTTTTTAACTTAACCGAAAAAAGAAAAGTAAGCAAGTAGTTTTAACTTTTTCTACTGAAAATAATACACTATACATGACTGGGGTATTTTTATGTGTATCAATCATCACACTATGTATGTTTTTACATGAGGGAGTCTGAAGTAATTTGACAATGATATTTGTTTCCTGTAAGGGTTGTATATTTGGCCCCAAATAGTAGTATACCCATAAGTCTAATATTTCTATTTGTAACTCCCTCAGGTTGGCTATTAAAGATGATAAAACACAGAAAACTGAAATATTTTGGTCACTTGAAATGTCGAGATAGTTTAGAGAGATCAGTAATGAGATAAGTATATGCCTAGAAAGAAAGGAAGAGGAAGGTTAAAGAGAAGATGGGTGCAGGATGTGGCGGATGATCTCCAGATGGATGTATTGGACATAGGACATCTTGCTTGTGATCTAAAAGTTTTCCGGAGGGTTGTTATGGGAGCGAGGTTCTGCAAAGGAATTGATACTGATTGACTGAACTCCCTCAGACATTAGCTACCACCTTGTAGGACTGAAAGAGTTAAAAGTAGGTGCAGTGATAAATTCAGAGAGGAAAACAAACAGTGGAGGTGTCACTGATGTACAAATGTAAATATATTCTTAGTCTGCCCTTAATTCCCCCAATGGAGCATAGGCCTCCAACTCATGCCAAGCTGCCCTAATCGTTGCTATTCTATCATACACAGCTCTTCCCCCCCCCCCCCCCCCCAATCTTCCTTATCTTTTTAATTTCACTTTCTAGTTCCTTTCTCCAAGTAATTTTGTGTGTGTTAACCTTAACTTCAATCCCCTTGTGGGTTCCATTTTAAAGTCTGTCAAGTTATGTTGGGTAAATACATTACCTTGACGACAAAACAACTTTCTAGCAATCTGGTCGACTTGGGTGGCTGAACCTGGTGTAGGGGCGTTGTTTGAGCTGACTTTGTTCCAGAGACGGTTCTTGGAGGTTGATTTGTGCTGTGGACTAGAAACAAGAGAGTGATCACCCTTGGTCTTCATCTGATCATGTTGAAAATTGAAAAATTATGGACAATTATATACCTTTTATTCCTCAAAGCAGGGCTTTATTCTGGTGGTAGCCACCGGTACCCAGTATGGCACCTGTTCCCAGGCATCCTGTTTTAGCGCAGTATAAATAAACACTCCGTGATGAGTACCTGCATCTTTTTACTAGAAAACAATCACTACTCAAAACACATCTGTGTGTGAGTGCTGCAGTTGTTTGGCATGTGCATTTTTGGAACAACACCTGACTGATCTACATAAAGGACATGGAGCTTGGCATTAAAGATTACCTGAAATGTGATCAAGACGGTCTTTTGTTGTTTCTTTGTTTTAGTATCCAGAAGCCATGAGTAGACGGTCTTTTCATTAAATCAATCAACAATATATCAACTAATCAGACAGGTGATCAATCAATCAAGTAATTATTAAATGAACATGATTATGAAACAGAATCAACATCAGTGCACTGAAGATCAACTCATAAGTGCTTAGGCTCTCCCAGCAGAAGTCAAAGGTTATAGATGGCTACTGTCTCTGCTGTCAGCTGGTAGGTGAATTCAGGGCAACCAGCTCCACAAGTGGCACCCATTCATGCCCATTTTGGCCACTCTAAACTTTCTGAACATATTCAAGTGCTATTTCAGGGAATCAACCAATCAATTAGTCAAACAGTTAATAATCAATCACTGGTCTTCTTTTTATTTATTTGCATTCACAAGAAGTAAACTCTGGCAGAAAGTCCTATTTGCACGTCCACTTCTGGACTTTACACTTGTTCCAGAATATGTTTTGAGTGCACTTCCATTTTACAGATCTGACTTATTTGTATGCAGACTGTTTGTTCCTCGCCTCTCAGGAGATGCACTCCAATTAAAAAAAAGAAACCCCTAAATAATCTGTTTTACAGCATGCATGTTAGGCGGGCAGTGGGTCTATTCACCCCCCCCCCCCCCCCCCCCCCCCCCCACCATGGTTGTGATGACCGTGCTTTGCATGATGGCCCACAGTCACAGTAAGCCAGGCAGAAAACCCAAGCAAAGAGACTACGGCACCCGAAACTCAGGGCTGGATGGGAAACTCAGAGAGAAAACCCAAGCAAAGAGACTATGGCACCCGAAACTCAGGGCTATATGGGAAACTCTGAGAGAAAACCCAAGCAAAGAGACTACGGCACCTAAAACTCAGGGCTGGATGGGAAACTCTGAGAGAAAACCCAAGCAAAGAGACTACGGCACCCAAAACTCAGGGCTGGATGGGAAACTCTGAGAGAAAACCCAAGCAAAGAGACTACGGCACCCGAACTCAGGGCTGGATGGGAAACTCTGAGAGAAAACCCAAGCAAAGAGACTACGGCACCCGAAACTCAGGGCTGGATGGGAAACTCTGAGAGAAAACCCAAGCAAAGAGACTACGGCACCCGAAACTCAGGGCTATATGGGAAACTCTGAGAGAAAACCCAAGCAAAGAGACTACGGCACCCGAAACTCAGGGCTGGATGGGAAACTCTGAGAGAAAACCCAAGCAAAGAGACTACGGCACCCGAAACTCAGGGCTGGATGGGAAACTCTGAGAGAAAACTCATGCAAGAGATGATAGCATGGAAGACTCTGGGCTGGAGAGATGAACACACAAGAAAGCCTGAGGTTGGCTCTTGGTCTGTTGCATACCAGACGCTGAGGAAGACGGTTGTGATGTAGTTTAATCGAAGTGTACTAAACAGTGTCTGAGTGATTACTTTGGGATTTATTGCGGAAGTTAGCAGTGAAGGCTGTGTTGTTGTTGTTGTTATCGATCCAGCGACACATGAGCTTTCGCCCTTTGGCCCAATGCCATATTGTGGAATTTGCATGTTTTCACAAGCTGTTCTTTTTCTCCGTACAAGGTTTTCTACTTGTCTGGTCTCGGAGGGAGTAGCATTCTTCTAGTCTCGCTGAGTTTTGGGCACTCAAAGAGATGGTGTTCAACAGTTTCGTAGGGGTAGTTACATAGATAGCTTTGATAGAAGAAACAGTGATTAAATAGAGTAAGAGAATTGGGATGATTAAACTGGCAGAATTTACATCGGAACCTGATCGCCGTTCTGCGTTGTTACTTTTAGAGTTGTGTGTGTTCCCACACTGGTGGCTGTGCATGTGTGCGACAAGGTCACATGAAGCACCAGAACTAGCTAGGGTGTGGAAACCCTAGACTGGAAGCTAGGAAAGAATCTAGCAATACTGAAAGCAGCCAGCATCACTGCAATTGTAATCAAACAATTTTGCAAGACGGAAAACATACTATATTTTTCTGTTGAGAAGACAATATGTTTTCCCAAATTTTTATAGTTTAAAATTTTGGTCCAGTCAGCGCCGTTAGGCTACTCTTTTCTATTTCTAACTGCCAAGGGATTTTCTACGTGCACAACAATGAACGCAGGCATTTGATCTCACCACCCATAGACCAGGGGAATTACTAGAAGTCCAAGTACACGAGAAAAAATCCCAGTCCTTACTGGGCATTGAACCCGGAACCTCTAGCACTCAAGGCGGACACTATGCCTCGAGACCACGCAGCCCCTTCATGGGACTGAAAGAGTTAACAAAGGTGACTTATTAGGGCTTCATTGAAATCGGCCATGCTGGGCTGAAAGGCAAATACAGATTGACTGGTCTATAAAAATATGCCTGATGAGACACTGGCGCAGGAAGAGTCCTTTACATGACTGACATTACCCCATGTCACAAAAAGTTCTATACCTGGGCTGGTAGTGACCGAGTGGCTTGTGGCAGGCGACAATGTTTTTCTCTGTGTCCCTCCAGTTAGCGTTGGAGATACTTGTGGAGTTAACAGCGATGGCGCTGACGAGGAGGATGGCATGGGTGAGGACTCACAGACTTTCCTTAGCCTCACAGCCTCCTCCCTGAACTCGGCAAACAGTTTGTTGACCCATGGGTTTCGGGACCCAACATTGTCTGTGTACCTGTACCAGGACTTTCTTTCACCCCCTGCAAACAGTGAAAAGAAAAGGAACATTGCTACCAATCTGGCACCATCAAATATATATTTACAGTACAAGTGACTGCTCTGTCACACACGTCTTCTTCTTCTTAGCATTCAGTTACTGTATATTCCAGTGGGAAAGTTCTGGTTGTTCGTCCATTTCTGGACGTTAGTCTTGTTCTAGAACTTGAGTTTTGTATGCACATTGTTTTACAGATTGTACTTATTTATAAGCAGATTGCTGGTTCCTCTCTTCTCTAACAGATGTATTCTGACTTCAAAGGAAACACACCTAAGTAGTCATCTTTTACAACATGCTTGTCAGGGGTCTACAACATGCTTGATAAGGGGTCAGTGGTTTGTGACATGCTTGATAAGGGGTCAGTGGTTTGTGACATGCTTGTTAGGGGTCAGTGGTTTGTGACATGCTTGATAAGGGGTCAGTGGTCCAAGACATGCTTGTTAGGGGTCAGTGGTTTGTGACATGCTTGTTAGGGGTCAGTGGTCCAAGACATGCTTGATAAGGGGTCAGTGGTTTGTGACATGCTTGTTAGGGGTCAGTGGTCTAAGACATGCTTGATAAAGGGTCAGTGGTCTAAGACATGCTAGTACAGGACGTTGCAGAACTACCCCAGCATTTTTTGGCTGTAGTGGTTTTTTTAGGCAAATTTTACATACATTAGTTTGCAAGTGCTTGCTGAACTGTCAGCTTTCGGTACCACTGTCAAACCCAACTCAAGACAAACCCCCCTGCAGCTGGGATAGAAACCGGCACAGACGCCGACAATGATATGTAGGCATTTATAAAATGGGTGATTAAATGTGCAGTGAGGATGATCTGCAGACTGACAAGATTTTTAAATGTACAGTGTCTACACTAGCTGCTGAAAGTAAGGATAAGTGCTTATGGGAATATTCTGATTGTTGTGATGTCAATTCTTAACTCAAGTATTGCATTGTTAATCGTCAAGGTGGCCTGCAAAGAACAGAGGTGGAGCGACCAGTTACGGAACATGAGACAGAGGCAGACCTCTGTGAAGACTGATGGATACATGAGACTGAAGATGCACTGGCCATGAAAGCACACACAGGGCTGGAGAATTGGCTACAGAAAGATAGACTTTCAGGTGTGCTGTGATGAAAGTGATGTTCTGTGAAGGATCTGCTGTGATGAGAGTGATGTTCTGTAAAGAATCTGCTGACTGATGATGAGTGTTTGCACACCAATTCTTTGCTGCTTAGGAGAGATTCAGACATCTGACCCACTGCCCAGAAATCAGAAGTGACATGTGCCATTACTGAGTATCTTTGAGAACCATGTCCTAAGAGCAGTGTTCTCAATGAGACACTGCCCTAACAAGCTTTGAACATGCACTGGCGAAAACAAAATAAAGATTACACACTGGAGCAGGACACAGCATCAGCAAGTTAGGCAAACATAAGAATACTAGGATCTCGAGACTGGCCAACACACTGTGGATTTAGAGCAGCACATCTTTATCCAATTAATCTTCACATATCTGCTCCACACACACAAGAAGAGACACTGGCACACAAACACAGGCAGACAGAGAGAGAAAAAAAAGAGAGGCAGAGGCAGAAAGAAAGAATGAGAGAAACATACAGAGAAAGACAGTCAGTAAGTATGTAGGCACTCAGAAAGAAAGCTAAGAGGGAGGGAAGAAAACTAAGAGGGAGGGAAGAAAGCAAGACAGACAGCCGGAGAAAAAATAAAGAGATTAAGCGAGAGAAAGAAAGAAGGAAAAAGGGTTAAATTTTAATTCACCACTATGAGACAACTTAGAATACCACTATTATCATGTAATCCAACCTCACCAACTCCAAAATTTATACTCATCTACCATACCATCACCAACCATAGACTATTATTTCCTCACATGTGTATATATTTATATCTGTAAGTGAGTGATTCAAAGAGAGAGACACACACACACGCACATAAACAGACAGAGAGAGTGAGGCTTGCTTTTTGTGTTAACCCACAAAATGCCTGCAAGTGATGACCGCAATTTTGCTTCCCTCTCATTCACTGATTTCACTTCATGAACTTGAGACCTGGCATTACCAGAACCGCAATCATTTTCTCAGACATACAATCTGTGATAACAGTCTGGAGTGTCTGTGACAGACAATTGTCTGCTTCCGGTCTGGGTTAATCCGAACTCAGTATTCCTTCTAATATTGATTCTGTCTTGAGCTACTATTGATTTTCTCATAGCTGGACTTGTGTGTTTTTTGTGGCTATGAAATCAAATATATATATACACAGTGGACAGGGCACTGGGTTACTAACACAGTGGTACAGGGGTCAAATCCTAGTAAAAGAGAAGCTCTGCCTGAGTATTATGGCTCCGGAGTGATTGAGCGCTATACATCTTATCCTCGACTTACGATCGATGCAACTTATGACCATCTGTACTTACAATCACACAATAATTAGTATATAAAAATATCAAATAAAGAAAGATAAATCAATTGGCAGGGTCCAAAAGGTCCCGGAACTGATGTCTAGAGCACAGCAGGGTCTGCTTATTCATACTTATGAATTAATCAAGTAACAGAAAGTGTATTGATCGCCACTCATCTTTCTACTTCTTTCTATGAGTGCCGATCAATACACTTTCTGTTACTTGAATAATTCATAATATTTAACGGCCTCAAAGGTTCCCCTTCTGTTTATTTATTCATACTTAGATCGAATTTTTGTGTTTTATATAGAATTTTTATAACTTGTTTGAAAGTTTAAGATTTTTCTTTTAAGTTCCCTCTATAAGTGACATAAACAACGAAATGCTATTAACACATTTAAAAGACACAATGAAGAGCATAAACTTATTTTCATCTCTGTATGCACGTCTTCATTTTTGTCTTTTTCTTCTTCTTCTTTTTCACCATCATCGCTTTGTTCTTCTTCTCTTATACCCTAATCGAGCATAGGTCCCCAACCAACTCACACCCAGATCATCCTATCATTTGCTATTCACCATTCACCACGTCCTCCCCATATTTTTCAACGTCACTTTCTCATTTCTTTTTTTATGCGTTTTTTGGGCTGCCTTTATTTCTTTGACCTGTGCCTCATCGTAAATATATTCTAGTTCTATTGTTATCAGGTTTTCTCAACAATGGAAATATTTATAATAGCAAATATGAGCATGGTTGCCTAAAAAAATACACATGCTAAAAAAAACAAATAAATAAATAAAACATATAATGTAGTCCAAATCAGTGCAGAAAATATGTATACATATGCTTACTGTAAAAATTAAAACAAAGTACATCCAATAAAGAGGATAAAGGGCTGTAAACTATTCTAGTGGGGAGAAAAAACAAACAGATGTCACATAACAACTATTTATATCATAAAAAATAATAAGAAAAAAAGGGCTGCCTACCTAGGGAAGCATTTTATAGACAAATGTGAACATAAATAACAATCAAAACACACAGGAAAAAATGAAACAGTTTCAAAACAATGTTTTTCAGCTGTGAATGTAAATAATGATTACAAATAATATGGCATATTTCATTGTATCTTGTCATGTACAAGACTTAAGTCCAGACAGACACACAGACATGTGTTTACTATAAGAAAATCCATTAGCCAAGCCATATGCTTATATGACATTTAAGCAGACATTCACATATTTTTCACAGACATCTCACATATAAACGCATGTAGCAATAACTGCATCTTTTAGCCCAACGAATCCCATTTCAGCAAATCATGAATTATTTGCCATTTAGGACGTGATTGTTAAAGGGGCAGCACCTCTTCCCCACCCCCTCCAAAAACCAGGGGCCTCAGAACTCAGATGAGGAGCTACCTAATTGCAATAACAATTCAGAGGTGAGAGACAACAAAATCCTGAGGAATGATTAATACCACTGACAATAATGACAAGATCACAAGCAGCAAGATGCAATGTCATCCATCATCTCAGCTCAATCTGTAAGTTGAACATACATATAAATGAAACCAACTTAATTTTCATTGAGTAAAACAAGCTGCTGTACATACAACAAACATAAAATGAGCTGTCTTTGAAAAGCTGAGGTCTGGTCATTTTTCCTCACACAAATAACAGGGGGAGGAAAATGAAGAAAAATAACCCAGACTTACTTTTAAAAGGCAACAAAACTATTTAAAAAAAACGACATACACAGACCCCAGCAAAGCCTGTGGCAGTTTCCAAAATGCAGGTGGAGTAATAAAACTGGACAGCTAGCACCAGATGACATGGGTTTGAATATCAAGTGTTTAAATAAAATATAGAAAACAGGTGAAACCAACCATCTTAAAATCACAATCCTTTAGTTTAAGAAAAGAAATCACCACTTGTTTTACGAAGATTAGGAATATGTTAGAGTGAGGCCACTAAAAGACACCACTGTTATTTGTTCCAAAATGCTTTAAAACAAAATAAAAGTATAAGGTTCGGGGAAAATCATAGAGCGAATCATACCGCCAATATAATAAGTATAAATAGTGCTAAAAATCTCTTCAATCATGCACAAAATGTAAAAAAGCAGAAGTGTAATTTTGTTCCTGAAATTCAAGAAACTGGCTGCTCCATATGTTCTCATATGTCATGTGCTAATTTCAGAACGTGCTGTTAGTTGCATTTCCTTTACAGGATTTGAAGAACCAACCCCAGTATGTTTTGGCTGTTATGGTTTTTCTAGGCATATTTTATGTTCAGTAGTTTGTCACTGCTACTGAACGGTCAGCTCTCAGTACCAATGTCGAAATCAACGTAAGACAAACCGTCTGCAGCTGGGGTCGAACCCATATCCCAGCATTACTAAGCGTGCTCCTAACACAAAAAGATCGGGTTCCGAAACAAAATGAAAGTACTGAAGTGGACAGACAACCCGAATTTTCCACCGGCGTTTGAGGCCATTGAATGCCCAGAATAAAATGAAAATAAGTAGAAAGAAATTTCATGGGAAGTAAAAGCAGATGTGTGGCACTAATTTACAA